TTTTTGGTCAGTCAGGTTAACCAAAACTATTTGTATGCCAGAATAGTAACATAGAAAAGTCTCTAAAGTTTTGTTTTGCTTTCCACTTTATTTAAATTGAATATTTTCTTATAATAACGCGGGTTGTTTTACAGGTTTCTCATAAGTTTGGATTTTGGCCCATTCCTCATAACAGACGTGGTGTAACTGAGTCAGTTCTGGTCTCAGATGCTGTGAAAACAATACACATTTCCCAAAAACATTTCTGTATCATTTTCACAAGAGACAGAAATGTGGGTAATAGATAACACAAATATATAGTAATTATAAATGAGTGATTTTTACTTCTTCTTCCTCCTCGAACATTAAGATTATGTGTTTTGTGTTTTTATGTCTGTTATTTTATACTGCTGTCATGTTCAAAACAAAAAAAACCACCAAGTTAACCTCTGGGGGACATAATCTGTTCTGCTTTCTGAGGACAGCGATGCTTTACGTTTCCATGACGTTTCTACTTCAGCATATTGTTTCCTCAGATGAACCAATCATCTTCAGGCATCTGTAAACGTCCAGAAGTTGGACAACTGCCCTCTAGTGACAATCTTATGCAAATATTAAAGAAAAAAATCCTTCTTATTTAAATAATTATCTGTTACTTTGGTAATACTTATGGCTGTCTTCACTTTTAGGACTTTAGGCTGTTAATGTGTTGAAATAAAATAAACAGTTTTGCTGGTGCGTAATATTTGAAATATTTTGTGTCAAACATTTTTGTCCTGTAAATGAGAATCACACATATTAAAAACAAAATTCATTGTTCTCTTTTACTTTGTTGTTACATTTATTTTCCTACTCAGATGCACATTTGTTTTAATTTGAGTTTTATCCTCACTGTACTGCAGGTTATCCTTATTTTTCTGTTCATATATACACATACATATTCTTTTTTAATCTTGGTTTTCATTTTTCCCTTCACCTTTAATTTGTTGTTTGTACATGTGAATTTACTCACCGTGGGACAACAAACGATATTTCTATTCTAGTCTGACGTGAAATAAGTTGTTGTTCCGCTGCAGAAAGAGTTCAGCTAGAGGGCATTTCCCTTGTTTTTATATTTTTTATTTTATTATTCATGGAGAAAATTTGGCCTGACAACCTTTGGGCATGAAGAGCATTTTGTTTCTGTTTTTTTGCAAAGAGCAGCACTCAAAAACAAGAAAGACTCCCAAAGCAGTTGGAAAGTAAAAATAAACAACTTTTATAAATCAAGAAAAAAGGGAAAAAACGTGATGCTGAGGCAGGAAGTTCAAAACGAGAGACGACTCAAACATCAGGCTGACATGGTACGAACAAAAGAGCGACACGAGCGAAGGATCTGCAAACAAAATGGAAAAACTCTCTACACAAGGGAACATGAAGAGTAAAACTAAGCCAAATATTCAACAAAACCTGAGGAAGTTGAGATGAAATTCAATCTGCATTAACTTCTCACACAGTTCTACAGGCAAACTGGGCTGTTTGGGTTGCAAAAGGAGAAAAATATATCAGTTATGCCAAACAATGATGTTGACAAATGGAGCTGTTACATTACCTCTAAATGAAGCTTTACAAGTTTCCACATCACGTTCAGGTAGACAGCAAAAATGCTTTTGAGCTTCTGCTTTAAAAGGGTATTATTAAAATAATAAAAGGTTTACCTGAAATAATATAGCAATAAAATAAAACAATTGAATTTTTACAAACAACTTTGCCCCCAAGAAAAGTTGGGTGGCAACTAATTACTTTTACTTGAGTAACTTTATTTTGAATAAAATGACTTTCAGGAGTGGTTTTACCATTTTGTACTTTTTTCTTTTACTTGAGTAATTTTACTATGAAGTATTTCTACTCTTACTTGAGTAAAATTTCTGGATTTTCTACCCACTGAATGAAAAACAATAATTCACCAGACACAGACACACACCTTTTGTTTTTGTTAAAGTTTCATCAGATTTATATGGAAAGAAACTGATTTGGGAAAATTTTCTTTTGGCTGATTTTTTTTTGTTTTTTTATTTATATGAATTATTCTAATTTTGGTCCCTAACATATAAACATTTCCACTTAACTTTATATTTAGATCCATCTGATGATGTAAATTTTAAATGATTAATCATTTGATCAGTTACTCAGTGTTTCAGTAGACTTTTTTTTTATCAAATACTTTTTTACTCAACTAATTTCCACTACTTTTTACATTTGAGTCAAGCTATGTTGAGGTAGCGCTAATCTTATTTGAGTACAATATTTGGCTACTCTGCCACCTCTGATCATAAGTAACTATTCAGGAAGAAATAGGAGCTTATTTTAAGTTAACAATTCCTTAATATAGATGAGAAAATACTAGTTTCATAGGCAAAATTGTTACAAGTGAAATAATCTGCCGTGGAACTCGAACTGCGTTGCCAGGCAACAGGCTGGGCTTGGCTGGCGTTGCTAGGTAACGTCGCAGAGCTTGTTGATAGTGAAATAATATACCAAAGAACTAGAACTTTTTAACCAATATTAATATTTTGATCAGTTACTTGAGTAGACTTTTTACCAAATACTTTTTTACTCTTACTCAAGTAATTTCTTGGACGGCTACTTTTACTTTTACTTGAGTAAAAATATGTTGAAGTACTGCTACTTTTACTTGAGTATAATTTTTGGCTACTCTGCCCGCCTGTGTAGCTAAAGTGCTCACTAAAATCTTTGTGTCTCATAAATACTTTTCCATAAATCCAGCTTGCATACTCCTGTAGAAAAGACACAATTATAGGCAATGTCACGTTTCTGAATTAAAAATGTTTTTTTATTCGCTTGATGTAATATTCTAATCTTAACTGTTGTGTTTTAATTAGCTGTAAGCAGAAAATCATCATAATTACTTCAGTCTGTCTAATTAATCAAGATAATGTTTTTCACTGTGTGAATTGTGCAACTGAAATGATGAATTTTTTAATAATATTCACATTTGTTTTAGTGGACGTGACAGAACAGTCTCTTTTGGTTTAAAAAATAAAAGTCTGCTTTGCGAAACAATAAAAAAAGCTGAATTTGATTCAGATTTTTCAGTTTTAGTTTGTTTTTCCGGCACTAAAATATTCATATTCAGAGTAAACACTCCTTTAGGTTCACCTGCCACAGGAGCAGAGCTTCTTGTCGGTTTCTAAGTTTGTACTCCCTCTACTCACTGCTTATGCATTATTTGCAATTATTGCTGCAATTAACATCATGTTGTCGTTTGTTTCTCCTTGCCAAGTGCTTCTGTGTTTAGTTGTATCTCTCTTAAACAAAGTTATTAATGAAGCTGCTGCCATTAACGTTGTGTACTCTCTTTGTTTTTCTTTGCCCTCAGCCGGTCTTGGTAGGCGGCCCAAACTGGTTCTGCAGGACTATTCTTCCACTTAAAAGATGTGGAATGACAGGAAAACACAAGAATTCAAACCACTGATTATAAAATATTAGTGCAAATTAGCATTTTAGACTCAAATAAGACTTGGACTCCAATTGGATCTAAATAAAACCATTTGATAAAATCGCATGACTTCCTTTTTATCATTTGAGGTCATCTTGTAAAGTATTTTGAGATTTTTCTTGCTGATAAAATGCCAGTCTTTGCTGCCCCTCTATATTTATCTTTAACATTGTCTGCCAATATTTCTGTAATTCCTCCACATCCCCATTCCTCCCATTTATAACTTTTCATTTGCATGAGTGGAACAGACCAAACCGGAAGTCCACTTGAGCCGGAGAGTTAGCTTAGTGGCTGAGCATAACCACTGAATTAGTTACTAATTTCAAATCTTAAAACTTCAACAATCACCTAAAAGTGATGCACACATGGTCAAACTGTGTGGTTGAAGTAAAATTTGAGGAAGGTACTTCCTCTAGATTATTTTTGTGCTACCATTTGTTAAGTACAAGCAGATTTTTCTCTTTAAGATGAGAAATGAAGCGAGTGCATCTGATGCCGATTCTCAAAAGGAGCTACGATCAACCATAGTTCAGCCTTTTAGAGATGGAAGATGGAGGTGTAGAGCTAAAATATTATATTTTCATATGGCCTTATAGGTGACCTATTATGCTTTATTAATCTGATCTATCATTCTTAGATAATGAGATTTTAGTCTGGTCAGTTTCAGAATGGCCAGTTTTAGGGCGTCCTGTCTCTTTAAATTTAAATAAGCTGTTGCTGGCCACGCCCCCGGAACTCAGCTACACTCTCATATTAAAATGGCTGAAAATAGATGTACAATTATGCAACCATACATCTTTGAAAAGCAGAAGTAGAGCCTCCTGCACAATGACCAAGAATGCAGCAAGAGGTTTCTGGATGGTAAGTCAACAATAAAACACTAGTCTTTTCCAGCAGCCATTGTACAACCTCCTTAACAATCAGGAGGTTTTTGAAACCATAAAACACCAAAAATCATTAACGTATTGCCAAAAAAACAGATGAGTATTTTTTTAATGCTTGGTTTGTCTTAACAGTTTAGACTCATGTGGAAGTATAAAATGTGCAAATTGTGGAAATCCTTGAGAATTGTTGCATAATGGATCCCCTGTAAGCAACAATTCTCAAGGATTTCCACATTTTGTACATTTTTTTCTTTCTGCCGATGTACATTACAAAATAACAAACTTTATGGTGTAAAGTTTGAGTGTGTTGTGAGATTTCACTGCTAAAACTAAATATTATCAAGTATTTTTGTTTAGTTTCTAGTGCACTGATAAAACTAACTTACAAGTAACTTTCAAACAAGATATAGGAGCTTATTTTCAGTCAATGATTCTTGGATATTGATGACAGTATTAGGCTTCTAATTGAAAAACGTCTTGTTTTCTATTTTTATTTTACGTGTTTTGACATGTAAACAAAGCCAGGTTTTAACTTGTTTCTTTTGGGTTTTGCAAAATCTGCAGAAATGTCCATTTAGTGCTGATTAGCAGTATAATGAGCACGCTTAAAATAAAAACTCCCATTCCCTAACAGTAAACACTATTGTGACACATTTGGTTTCTTGCAGTTTTAATATAGAATATTTTTTCAGGAAGTTCCAGCTTCCCTTTCGTTGATGCCGTAAGACCGTCAATGGGGAAATGTTCATTTGTGTTTTAGTTACAGTTCCAGGAGATTTGATATTTATGTATGATGAGGAATGAAACCGGGCATGTATTTTTGCTCTGAGGTGACCTCAGAGCCTGTACTTCTTCAAGCTGAAGCAGCGGTGCACCCTCAGTGTGTGGAAACTTGCTCTGGAGCCACAGGGTCAAGAGTTAGAGGCTCCCAGCGACGGCAGACATGAACCTGCCGACCAGAGAAGAGTGTGAAGGGTGGGACCACATGAAAGTGGCGCTTTTTATGTGCAAGGTGGGTTTAAGAGGAATTACAAAAAGTTTTACAGCTGATGGCGGGGATCTATTTCCCTCAACATTTGAAGAATTAAACTGTGACTGACAGGATGAGCTACTGATAACGTTTCTCTGTGATTACCATCAGAATAACATGCAAGACTGCGCCGGGACTGTGACCAGATTAAAGATCGACGGACTCAGGCTTCTGGTGAGTCTGCTTTTTACCAGTATTATTATTCTTACATTAGTTTTGCAGAAAAAAAAAGTTTTATCTCAAACTACATTTAGTTGTCCTCACTTTGTTTTAACATTAAAATCAACAAATCCTTTTTATGTGGCACAAATACAACCTTTATGTGCTTAAATATTATTTTATTAATCAAATCAAAGTGTTTTTTATCTGTTTACTTGTCAAATTACATTAATCAATATGTCTAATTTCACTGTGATCATGGAAATTAATGCAAAATCAACAAATTGCATCTTTTTTTTGTCAAAAACATTGTTCTTGAAATGATGCCAACTCCCACCAGAAGGTGGCAGTGTATTTTACTTCTACACTTCTGCCTTGGGCTTAATTATTTCAAGTTCTAGTCTGCGATTGATTATTCGCTTGAAATAAAAAGTCAGATTTATCATCATACCTAAGCGCAAATATTTAAACATTTCTTGCAAATGTTTCTAAATTGGCATCAGAAAAGTTTTGATTTTCATAGAAAAAAAAAAAAAAAAAAAAATTGTGAAATTCTGTAAGGACCGATCGGTGTGAAAAGATGCTCAATATTATTTTAAATTTTTTTAAACAGTTCCAACCGTTGGTTTATCAGGTTTATCAATACTTTCTGGCCCTTTAAGAACATTCATGATCTTAACGTGGCCCAAACTGAAATTGAAAATGTTTGACTTCCCTACTGTAAATTATAAAAATAGGGATTTCGGTATTAAGTCAGTAAAAATAACAAACTCACTCTGTACCATTTTCATTCAGCGTTTTTTTTTATGTGCATTTTTCTATTTCTGCAAACGCGTGGGACAACAGACAGGGCAGCGAGCGGCTTGAACCATGACGGATCCAAACACAGTCGCTTGCATTACTTCCCACAATTTGCCCTTCCTCTTACAGAAGTCAGTAAAACTGTTGCAACTTCTGCTTTGAGAGTCACTTTCATCGCTTTGGCTGCGTTTGTCTTCACTGTACGTTTGTATTGTTTCCCAGAAATGATGATTTCAGCTGAAACAACTGAAAGAAATTTAATTTGACATCAACTAACTGGGATGTCCTAGTTTTCCACAGCTGTGAAAATATGTATTTCTATTCACTGTTAGCATTAATCAAATAGCAATTAATCAAATTAATGTCCATTAATGACTTTGTGTGATAGACTATCACAATGTTTTGTAAAGATTTAATAGTTTTTGAAATAGAAAATATATAAAGTGTGGCATGCTTTTATTTTCATAACCTTTCTTGATACAGATTCTAATTTGGACTTAGGTCTGCGCTTGGACTAGGCCATCCTTACACATGAATATGTTTTGATCTAAACTGCTCCACTGTATCTGTGGTTGCTGGTCACTGCCATCTAAAGTCTTTTTTGGCTTCCCATCAAATCTGAACAGACTTCCTTTGTTAAAGACAAGCATTTCCACAGCATAATGCTGCCACTACCATGTTTTATATTGAAAATTGTGTAGGTTAGATTCCAGCTTTCTCATGCCACATATATCCTCTTTCAATAAGCAATTAATTAATTAATTTAGGAGTATCAGAATAAAAGGGGAGGATGGTCAAATAGGCAACCATTTTTTCCCAAAATCTTTTTCTCTCCCATAAAATGTGAAAAAATTCACTGATCTTTATGGTTGTGCCCTTATAAAATGAACAAGTTCAGGGTAATGTATACATCCTGCCTGTCACGCTCCACATGACAGCAGTATTATTTTTTCATATTATTTACTCACCTTGAGCTGCGCCTCATGTCTCACAGGCTTATTTCCCCTAAAGGAGACTCAACAGGAAATATGATCAGTCAAAAAATGATGAATGTTTCAGAGCGGAGGCTTTGATGAGCAAGGTGCCAGGGCAGAGCTGAAAATACATAAACAGAGATACTGACTGATGGATCCCACAGAGAGAGAGATTCAGCCCTATTAGGCTAACAAACACTGCACTGCGGCTCACTCTAACTTTAACGCTACCAAGTATTTCACCGTTGGCGCTCTATGGCTGCGTTCACACCGAGCGCATTTCGTGCTCCAAAAACGAGTCCAACACTTCCAGTTCAATGCGTTTGCACTTTGAAGTCAGACGCTTGGCATTATAGATAAGTGGAAATCGCATGAAAATCTCTCTGTAAGCGCGTTGGGACGAAAAAGGAAGAAACTTTGCTAAACTGCTATCTGGTTACATAAAAACATCTCAGTACGTATGATTAGTTACCAAAACAAAATGCTATAAGGAAGTGAACTGTTGGTAAAGAATCAATCGGCAGGTTAGACCAATAATTGTGCCGTCAGTCTTAAGGCTGTCCCAATAGTCAATACATCAATTAATTACATGATAAATTAAAATAAGCTCAATAATGTCTTTCTTTCTACCAAGAACTTGATAAAAGTCTCAGTCTGATGCTTTGGTCTCAACTAGCCAATATTTTTTAGGACAATTTTATTTAGAGACTTCATAATTCATTTTATTTGTCGTTTCTGTTTATTTATTTGGGGTATTTAAATTGACTTCCAGTTCCAGTGCTAAATGTTCATTAGAATTGCATGTTCATTGGTCTTTGAGAATGTATTTTTTGCATTGATATTATGCCTTTGCCATTTTAATACTTGAAAATCGTCTCAAAATGGCAATATTATAGTATATCGCAATAACTTCTGGGACAATTTATCATTCAGCAAAATGTGTTATTATGACAGGCCTAATGCCTTTTTAACACCCCTTTTTCTTCACATAAGATATTTACTTTGATTAGAATCTGAATTTATAAATGAAATTATACAATTGAAATAAAAGATTCCTTTATTTTAAGACTTAACTAGAAGGACCAATAACTATGTAATACCACTATATGAGCCTATTTCAACAACATAGACAGACAACAATACTATAATTTACTAAATTACTTACCCAAATGACAGTAATGATCTCCTGCTTTGGTCAAACATCTCTGGAGAAACAAAGTCCCCGCTGATATTCAGCAACATGGAGGTGCTGTTTGCTCTGTGGTGACACAGCATGCTGATTTTGGCATGAAACTCAAACCACTGCTGTGCTGGAGCGCAGCTTGACAGAACCTGCCATGTGACAATGTTGTGTATATTTTCTGATACCTCATTCATTCAGCCTAGAGTAAAGGAGAGATACACCAAAACTATCTCCATTTGCCTTTAAATGAACAGAGATTTGATATAACAGTAATTCTTGAGAATAGAGACAAAACAGGTCCTATGGATAAAGCACAACATTTGAATAAAATATACACAAAATAACATTTTTTCAAATATCTGACTAAACTAACCTGGGTCATGTGAGCACAACAATGTATATTCAACTCC